AAGGAAATTTTGTTTTCATCCCCGTCCTTTAATAAATTAAGATTTTAGTTTTAAAAAGAAAAAATCTTAAATTTAGACCTCCTTTAGAAAGTTTCTTCTAATTTTGCCCTTTGAAACTAAAATTTGTCGCTTTGCTCCTGCTTACTATGGCATATCCTTTCTCTCTCTAACCAGAAGAGGTATTGGCATGTTATGGAAATCTACTGTACCGCTAGATCGACATAATTAGGTGAAGTCTAATGATTGTAAGCAGCTTCCACCAATAAAGTAAGATTCCTTTATGAACTTACCCCACGATGTCGTAGGATGGTTTTCAAAATTTATTAATGTGACCTAGACTTTCTTACAATTAAAATTGATATTTATACCCAAAAAAATGATATAAATTTAAAAATATTTTTTATTATATAAATTATTATTTTTTAATATATGAATTTTTATCAAAATATTTTTTATTAGTAACGTATTTAAAACAAGCAGAAAAAATCCAATACGAGAAAATTTCTAAATACAAAAAGAAATATCAATTAAAAAAATTATAGTAATATTTATCCATAGATAATAATATCATTGTTTATCTCGATGTTCACCAACAAAAAAAAAATTAATCGGTAAAAATATCATCGGTTTTGATTCGTTTGTTCTCTTCCTAATAGCACCAATATTACCCTCAACCTCCCCAAAGAGGTCCCAATCCCTTCCCTCTACGTTCATCTTCCCTTGCATTACTTATAAAACCCATGTATGTGATTTTTGTGCTTGCTTCATTATCTCATGACCTCTAGTGGTTAGTTTAGTGATCAAGAAGGAAGGTTAGCGTTTTTTTTTTTTTTTTTTACCTTTTGAATTCAAATATGGGGGTTAATATTGAGAAGATTTTATTACATTTTTCTGAATGTATTAAATTATTGTAGGAAACGAAACACAGTTGTGTTTGACATGAAAATTGGTATAAAAATATCATTTATCATGGAATAAAAAAACTACAAATTATTATGATAATAGATATAATTATAATTTTTTTTATTTTTCTCCATAATCTTGAGTTTTTTAAATGTTTTTTTTCTCTCTAACAAGATGCTCGTTGTAAAAGATATGAATTTCGAGACAAATGTTGTGTGATAATAAAGTTGGTATTAAAAATGAATTAGAATTATTAAAATCAACAAAATTAAAGGGAGAAAATTGAAGAAAAGTTAAGATACTGTAACTTTCTTGTGAAAATTATAGTAGTAAATATATCATTAGTATTACAAATTAAATTACTAATAAAATATAATCATGACTAATATTCATTAGGGAATTCTACAGTAATATTTATGTAACCTACTAAACGACAATACCCCCTTTCCTCCTCTCCCATTTTTTATTTTTTTTGTTTAGAAAACAACACCTCCTCCCCTCTTATTTTATCACAAACTAAGTTTTCATCGTCACAAAGGTGTAGTTTTTACTAAGAGGTCTATTAATCTTTCTCATCCAGGTAATGAAATGCGTGGAACGAATTGAAGACATCTGTAAAATATCAGCAAAGCACTCCGCAGCTTTTGTTGGCAATTATTTTTTCACAACGATGTTCTCAACTGTAATAGATTGGGGGCAAATAGAGTTTTTTTTTTTTTCACCCTAAGAAAATCTTCAAATTATTTTGAGCATTAATTGAGATTGAATTTCATTTTTCAAATATTTTAAAAACGTTTTGTTTATATTGACATGGTGTATTCAAAGATAAAGATTGGACATTGACAGAATTTAATTAGGCTGTCTAATTATTGGTGGGATTCTAATCACATCGGGTGTGTCCCTTCACAAGAGGATTCAAACAATAGAACAATTCAATTGCTAGGGAAAAAGGGATTATAGGAGGGAGAGTATTTCATATATAATTAACATAATTTTGCATGGCTAGCTAGTGATTAAGTATCATGACCGGCAGGGAAGTGTTAATGAACACCAAGATTATATATAAGGTGACTTCTTTGCTCCAACACGACGATTTGAGATCGAATAAAAAAAATTAAGATTCCAGAATATATGAATTCTGCCTTATTTTTGTTTCTATGAATAATTAGTAGAACAGAACTGGACGATAAAAAAGCTACAAGATAGCAAACTCGAAAATGGCTAATGGACCTAATTAAACATACGAGCCCAACAAAACATATTTTAGCAAAAGAGAAATGAAGAAATGTTCATATAAACCTGATAGGTTCATGCCCCATGCATTGCAAACCCACCCCGTCTCATTATCGGGAGTCTAGACATAATGCATTGCCTCTTTACCCTCCTTTGATCTCTTTTTTTAATGGGTTTCTGAAACAGGCTCTAAAATTATAGCCAGAAGTTCCAAGAACATTTTCTAGATTTTATTTTTGGTAAAAAAAGTAATGGAGTCCTCAGTTATTATTACTTTGGAAGAAGCAGAAGATGCAGCTTTGCCAGGTGGAAAATTAAGATGGAAGGAAGGAGTTGTAGATGACTCTACTACTGCATTAAGAGAAGTCTTGGAAGAGATAGGCTTGGATCCTTATCCTGTTTCAAGTTGTTGCAATCTTAGAGGCTTTTATTTCCCACGTACAAACAGTAATGTTTTCCCTCTTGATTTAGACCTTCACCATGTTCATGGCCATGTCATGCCGTGGCCAGTCTAAATTTTTTTTAATATTAAAAAGTGATGAAATGATAATATTTTTAAAAGGTAAAAAAAATATTATTTTCAAGTTATTAACTTGATTGAATCCAATAAAATTAAGTAATTTTATAATTAGATTTAAAAAACAGACAATGACTGAAAATGAATCATAAATTAATAATAAAAAATAAATAATCAACATTATACCTAGAAGGCGATGAAAGAAAAACTTGTTTAAAACTTATTATCACTCCAATATTGACACCGTCCATTATAAAAGAGTTTGCTTAAATGGTTCAAACCCCATTATACAAAAGGTTGCACAATAATATCAAAAGAAATTATATGGCCTGCTAAAGCACCAACCCAAAAAATAAACCAAACAAAATATCATAAAATGAGTATCTCATTCCTATATTCAATCAATTAATTATATATAATAAAATTTATTTTAAAACAAATAAATTTAAAAAAAATAACAAATAAAAAAACTCAGGATAACTCAATTAAAAAAAATAAAGGATATAAAAAGTATATAAAAAAAACAGAGCTCAATTTTTAATTAAATAAATATTGAATAATAAATATATATATATATATAACTTAAAAAAATTAAAAAAACTTAAGTAAACTCAAATGAATTTTTTAAAGCTAAAAAGAAAAATTGAACACTGATCTAAAACATTGGTAGGTTAGGTGCAAAAATAAAGAAGGAAAAAAAATAATTGAAAAAAAATAATCATTGGCTCCACACCAAAGGTTTTTTGGGTTTATGCAGCGCTAAATATAGAGGGTCATTAAGATGAATTGGACACCACCCTGAAATCACATTTTTGTCAACAATAATCAGTCGCATGCATAGCATGCAATGCATGTTTATTATATTTTTTATTATTTTTCATTTATCAAATTAGTAAATTACCCCTAACTAAACTTGATAATAACAAGAAAATAACAAAAATACCCTCAGACCCAACGTATCAAAACCTAAAGTTTAAGGGCAATCGTTTTTTAATTGTGATTTTAAAATTGAAAATTGCAAGTTAAAGGCTTTTTTTTATTCTAAGAGTAAAAAGATTATTTTACTATGCACTCTTAATGAAAATATGAAGGGGAAAAAGAAAAAAAAAACCTTTCTACGACAACCTTATAATTTTTTTTATTTTTAAATGCATTAAAATCGTTTTACTATGTCAAAAAAATATAAAATATAAAATTATTCTAATTACTTTATAGTTTAGTTGTTTTTACACTTAACCTCTATGTTTTGAAAAATTATAATTTATATTGTTAGTAAGTGTAAAATAAATTAAACTATAGAATGATTTAGGATGTCAATTATCACTCGGGCAACAAACTATAGTATATAAATTATATTTTCTTAAAACATGGGAGGATAAAAACTATAGAATGATCGATCAATTTTAGAATGCCTAAGTTGTCCTAATGCAAAGACAATTGTACTCTCAAGTTGTAACCTTTGAGGGTTTTTCTTTTTTCTTTGAAGGGCAAGATAATAAAAACATTGTTTCCGGTCCATATTGCAAAGTGCCTAACACGTTCCAGATTATTTTTTTTAATTTAATTTAATTTGATGGTTGCTATGATTCTTCCTTCCTAGTCATTCTCAGCATCTTCATCACCGAGATGACTGACCGACCAACTTGAATGCTTATAACCGACACAAGAAACAGACCGACCAACTTGAATGCTTATAACCGACCAGCTTGAATGCTTATAATTGCTCTTCCAAGTTTGTGCGCAAACACACAAGACTTGGACCGGTATCTATGATCAGTCGTTCAATCTAGACAATTAAAATGTATCCTTGCGACTAATTTAATGGAATTCTCCTTAACTTGCAATGCAACCAGAGAAGACTTTATTCAAATCCCACCACCCACCGTGTACGGATATATTACACAGCTAATTTCGAAGAAAATTCGTCTCATTTTAATTAAGCACCTTCTTTTATCCTGTAAATAAATACCTTGAATTTGAACAACTAAAGTACGTATAATTTATATTATTTTTTAATATATTTTGAAGCCATGGTCAGCATATAGGTTTCAATTTGAAAAACTAAAGTATGTATAATTTATATTATTTTTTAATACATTTTAAATAAAATATTTATATTCAGAAATGGTCAACAAACAATTCAATTTTTTAGGGAAAAAGAAACCGTATATTAGTCAATCTTTCACCTACTATACCAAGTGCCCGCATCTTGACCGACCAAGCACGGCAAGTTCATGGCAGCTTCAGCGTGAGGATGATTGTCTAACAAAGAGACATGTTAAATTTTACACAATATAATAAGAATCTGAATTTATATACCAAGTTCAAATTACTATACATGTGAATGCGTGACCTAAACAAGTGAAAACTCAGCCAAATGCCATTCGATTTTTACAAAAGTAGGCGCTGCTTCTATAATAATGAAAAACATGACTTCTCTTCACATTGCTTGACCAAGCCATATACAAGTGTTAACAGAAACACAGAGAGGCCAAGAGATTTAAATATCTCCTATAGGGGATTAAGAGCTTGCTGCAGCAATGGATGCCTCAACAGCTTATAGACAGGTTTCACCAGCAGTCCCTTCTTGGCTAAACAAAGGAGACAATGCATGGCAAATGACAGCATCAACTCTGGTTGCCCTCCAGAGCATGCCCGGGCTTGTCATACTCTATGCCAGCATAGTCAAGAAGAAATGGGCTGTAAACTCTGCCTTCATGGCCCTCTATGCCTTTGCTGCTGTCCTCATTTGCTGGGTGCTATTAGGCTACCGCATGGCCTTTGGCGATGAACTCCTTCCCTTTTGGGGAAAGGGTGCACCGGCTTTAGGCCAAAAGTACCTCTTAACCAGAGCGAGGGTCCCTGAAAGTACGCATACACTCGAAGATGGCACAAGGGAAACTGTTGAGCCTTGGTATCCAATGGCCTCACTTGTGTACTTTCAATTTACTTTTGCTGCTATTACCCTTATTTTGCTTGCTGGTTCTGTTCTTGGCCGGATGAATATTAAAGCTTGGATGGCTTTTGTGCCTCTATGGCTCATATTCTCCTACACTGTTGGTGCTTTTAGCCTATGGGGAGGCGGATTTCTTTATCATTGGGGTGTCATTGATTACTCTGGTGGCTATGTCATTCACCTCTCCTCAGGAATTGCTGGGTTGACAGCAGCTTATTGGGTGCGTAAATCAAGTCCTTTTAACCAAATTCTGGTTTTTATTACGTTCTGCGTTTCACTCTTGCTGCCTTGATGCTAAGTTGTCAAAAGTGACGCAGGTTGGACCAAGGCTAAAAAGTGACAGGGAGAGATTTCCCCCTAACAACGTGTTGCTAATGCTTGCGGGTGCTGGTCTGTTGTGGATGGGCTGGTCAGGATTCAATGGAGGAGCACCCTACGCAGCAAATATCGACGCTTCGATTGCGGTGCTGAACACTAATGTATGCGCAGCAACAAGTCTGCTTGTATGGACATCTCTGGATGTTGTATACTTCGGTAAACCATCAGTGATAGGAGCTGTTCAGGGCATGATGACCGGACTAGTTTGCATCACTCCAGGAGCAGGTTAGTGTGTTTCTGGGTCTGTGTTATGATATTAGCATTATTTTAGTTGTTAAAACTATGGATGGTCTTAATGCTTGCAGGACTGGTTCAATCTTGGGCGCCTATAGTGATGGGAATACTTTCCGGCAGCATTCCATGGGTGTCTATGATGATACTGCATAAGAAATCTGCCCTGCTTCAAAAGGTATTTCTTTTGCTTCTCCTGGATATCCACGAGTCCTTAAAAATTTGAAGTCTTGACAAATTGCCAATCCATCTTTACAACTTCACCCACCTCCAATCTACAGAAAGCTTTGTGGTTTTAGCCTATCTAAGACGAGACTTAAGGACAGATAAAGAAAAAAAAAAAGGAAGACTCAAAAGAGATGTTAGGTATTTCTCCAGTAGCACGCAAGAGTTGACTATCAAGTTTTGCGTTATATATAATATCAAGTTGTTCGGATTTATGGGACATAGATGAAAACTAGAATTTGTTCATGTTTGTGATTTAAAATATTTTTTTATTAAGAAATATATTAAAATAATATTTTTTATTTATTTTTTAAAAATCATTTTTATATTAATATATTAAAAAAATCTAAAAATAAATAAATTTTAATGAAACGAACCGCGTTCTTAAACAGGCATAATGTAAAGCTAGAAAAGAAAATGACTGAATAAGGGGCTAGCTGCCCATTTCAAGAAAGAACGAGGCCAATAACAAAACCAGTGAGAACTTCCTGAAAGATCAGTGGAAGATCTGTGCATAAGAAATTATAGAAATACGAGATAAATTGAATTTTGGTTTTATCCATCTTGCTCATAGTAATTGGACCAATAAATTTAATATTTTTTTTTCTTTCAGGAAACTACTTTTGTTTTCTCCATAGGTTTTTTCAAGGATGATGGCTACTCCATGACCATGTCCTCATCCCAGGCCTAAACATTGTCTTAAAACATGGAGCTTTTTTGAGACAAGGAATTTAGCAGTCTTCATCTAATACTATTTTTCTATCCTTATCTTATTTGTCGAGTATATTTCACTTTATCATGCCTGTGTTTTCACCATCGAAACGGGGTGCTTAGCCACTAAAACGTATCAAATCATGTCTCTAAACCTTTCCATCAAGTCATGAATGACGGCCACTACCAAACTTCAACAAGTCACTTGATTAACTTCACATCCCCCTTGTTTTGGACTTTATTATTCATCCTGAACAATCTACCCTTATGATCGGGCAAGCAAGTCCCACCATTAAAACTCCCCTAGTCTCCATTAAAATTAATTACAGTCAAAGATGAGAGCATGACATTGAACACTCTTTAGCTATAAATAAGAAGAAAAATTAAGTAATTCATGTCTGTTTTTTTAATCTTTGATTGTTGAGGTAGCAAGGATAATATTAGTAGACTAAATACCAGGTGTGTGTTTTCCTTTTGTGTGGTAATAACAGGTGGATGATACACTGGGTGTCTTTCACACACATGCAGTGGCTGGGCTCTTGGGTGGACTTCTGACTGGACTTCTAGCAGAGCCGGAACTGTGTGACCTTATACTGCCGGTGAATACAAGGGGTGCGTTTTATGGTGGAAGTGGTGGGGTGCAATTCCTGAAGCAATTGGTGGCAGCCCTTTTTGTTATAGGTTGGAACGTGGTGTCCACAACCATAATCCTTCTGTTTATAAGGCTGTTTATACCATTGAGAATGCCTGAAGAGCAACTTGCTATTGGAGATGATGCAGTTCATGGAGAGGAAGCTTATGCTTTATGGGGTGATGGAGAAAAATACGACCCGACTAAGCACGGTCGGAACACCTCATTGTATGGAGAGGAAACAGCACAGTCTCCGTATGTTAATGGTGCAAGAGGTGTCACCATCAATTTGTAAGCAATGCAGAAATAAAAACCATCATTTTGTAAGCTAGATGACTGCACACGCACATTATTATTGCAGTTTTTGATTTCTTGATATATATTGATTAGCACATAGTTCGATTTGTGAGTAGAATCTTGACGCATGTAATATTGAATTATAAATTGTTCTGCCTAATTTGAGAAGAGAATAACAAAATAACTAAGGTGATTTTTATTTTTCAAAAAATAGTTTTTAGGAAACTATATTTTAAATTTTCTTGTATTTGTTTGTTATTAGGAAAGTTGGTAAATGGAAAACACTTTTCAGTCAACGAAAAACACTTTTTGGTTAACGAAAAATATTTTTTAGTCAACGAAAAATATTTTTCAGTAAAAAAAATTGGCTTGGTTTTCAGGAAAGTGTTTTTCTTTTTAAAAATAGCACACAACAGTATTTATATCTTTTTAATTTTTTTAAATACAATAAAATAACAAGTTTCTGTTTTTCAGAAAGTGATTTTTAATAAATCACTTTCCAAACTTTCTTGTGTTTATTTGCTGTTAGGAAAGTTAGTAAACGGAAAACACTTTCCAGTCAAAGAAAAATTTCGCTTGATTTTCAGGAAAGTGTTTTCT